ATCTCTGGTTAAATTAGCATTTTACAACTGCGAAGCCTTCCTAATCTAACTGATCCTCAAATTCGCATATAAGACACGGTTGATCTGATTCAGTGTTCTCATGATACGCGCCACCGTCTGCAAGTATATTCAGTCAAAGCAACATAGCAGCGCTGCCAACAAACGGGACAGAGCAACCGATTACTTGTACCCGATGCACTCACTTTGATGGCATTGTGATATTTTGTGCCATAGGAATCAGTCTGCTACATGACCAAGAAGCAGAAACAGCAAGAAGCAGTCAATATCGAGGCTACACCGCACCAAAACCTACCTCGTCAACCAAACAGACACACCAAATTTGCTGCTCCCAGGGGTGACACATACAACACATATAAACATACAGTTTAACTTCCGACTCTCCACTATCAACGTCCGAGGATAGCATCACAAGTCTTCTTCGTCATGCACCACTCACTGAATAAAGCTGATGATAGTGCTTCGGGGACTGGTGACCTTTTCCCTCGCATCCACCTTCCTTCCTAGATCGTTCTAGTATCGTCCATCTCACTAACAACCTCCAGGAATTTACACCCATCAGTCGTTACGAGTTTGGTTTACCCTCACCACACCGCCTCTTAGCCCACATGCAGTAAACTGTCCTGTCTCAGGTGATATAGTTGTATTCGCAATCTTAGCTTGACTCTGATGACTACACTACTGAGTACAGATTCATCCTTATCCTGTCTTGTTTAATCAACTGATGTCCTTCCATAACTGAGGTAAAGTTAATTTTTTCCCTATCAATGACTATATCCTGTCTGATAAGCCCTACAACTCTCCAGACCTTATTGATCTNATTATTATTCTTATCAGTAATAAAAACACTGCTTATTCCCAATTGGTGGATGACACACCGCCAGGCATGATCGCGCGGCTGAAGTCACAATAAAGTACGGCTGGGGTCGGTGGGTGTTCAAATTGCGTAAAAATAAAATTAGTTGGCGAGGTTGACAGATCCAACCTCGCTTCAACGGTTCGGCAGCACAAGACACTTGTTACCTGACACCATGCTCTGAACATGATTCCACGCGGCTGGATCGGATAAAATGGCTAAATCTCCTGGTACTATATTTGTCGATATAGTACCTCCGGCTCATTACCGACAAACACGACCGCGGACCGGACCTGTAGAAAATCGACGCCGTCAAAAGTATACCAGCGCCCATATATGTAGCATTCTTCAGAAACTTCCTCGGTTCATCAGCATCTGGAGTTTCTTCCTTGCCAGCTACGCATCGCCTTTGGGGCTCACTGAGCCAGCCAGTCATCAAGGATCAGAAGTGGGCATGGTCAAAAGGTTTCCAACGCGCCTTCGGCTCTGCCAGCCCATGCTTGGGTCCTACTTGCCACTCGCCCACTACGATCCTTTACTGGAAACGCCTGTGGCGTACGATGCATCTAACTAAAGTATGGCGTCGTAATTTCTATAATTTTTGCTGCAGCCAGAGAGTTATTGCGCATGAAACCAGATCCCCGACACCCGCCAAGCGCAACAACCGTCAGATAAAAAGAAAGCTCTGGCGATAGTGTTTGCCCTCAAGGTTTCACAATACTCTAAAGTCGTCCATCGACCACGCTGAGTGAACACAATTCGTTCGTTAGTGTGTCTCAAAGGGGGTGATTCTGTGTGTAACGACGACCGTCTATAGGGCTGGACCACTACTTCTTTTACACGACTTCAGATTCAAGTACCAGTCCACCAGTCTTGGACAAGCCGTCGAGATAGTGCATCTCGTTGACTCACGCAGCCAAGGACTGAAAAACACTCGCCGGAAAAGTTCTCCTAAACCAGGAGTTGAAGTGCGCAGTGCAGAAACTTGCCCATGTTTGTGGCAGCAACCGACGAACAGCCTGTTTCGTATTCATGTCTACTATGCCAGTCTACTAGGTGGCCAATACATGCATACAGTAGGGCCAGAATTTAATTGCAGAGCTTTCTTCTGGTACACCAAGTGCCGCAACACCCCAAATCGCTTGATGGAGTGCCCTCAGCTGGAGCAATCTTCAGAAGTAAGCTTCGAAGATCGCATAACGCTATCCGGCTACACAGAGGGCAATTAATCACAGCAACAGGCGAGAGGAGAACTAGCAACTGGCAACATGGCGTAACCGCGCGCTTCTTCAATAAGGACCAGATAGTTTTCAGTTTCGGCTACAGCAGCGGATGCCCTTAGTATTTTCCAGAACAATCATCCACCGACGCTGCAAGATGCTCTTAGAGATTGACATGGCTTCAGTCATGTAAATCCCGCACGCAAAATAAACCGGCCGACAAATGCACAGATTTTGCGAACCAGATCAAGTGAGTTGTGTCTTGAGATGCTTCTGAACGCATTTGCTATTGTTTAGATTACGCTGGCTATCAGACGCTACAGCAGATGTCCGAACTCGCAGCACGATGGCTACCCTGGACAGACAAACAAACCCTTGAATTGAAATGTACCTCAATAAACTTCGAGGAAGTAGCTTGACGGAATTCCACACAGGTGCCGCTTTGCCGCTTGCATTTGAGCGCCGCTGCGGATAAGAAGCCTATTAAGCGAGCAGTTTTATCCAGAAGACCGAGATGCCTGCAGGTTCACTATCAGAGTGAGCGTTATTTAGCCGAAAGTCTAGACGCAATGGCCAATCGTGATCCAGTAGCCACAGAATGACGGCCGCCCATAGCGCATCCAGAATGCACCAGAATTTCCGGAATCTTACAGTTGCGCAGGTCTGATGAACACGCTATATACATGAGCTTCTGACGTGGTTTTCGGTGTCGACGCACGCTATATCTTTTTGATGGTCACCCTAGGGGGCAACGCTAACTTGGAAGGTTCCTACGAGGAAGTACGCAAAAGAACTACCGTCCACATACGCCATTGCCATCTTTTATTAATAATAATAATAACAATAATAATAAGTATTCCCAGATGGTGGGTAGCATACCGTCGGGCATGATCATGTTATTACAGTCAGAATAATTGCATGACTGGTGGGGTATGTAATTACTGGGAGTTTCCTGGAAAAGGGAAAGTGACGTAAACAGTAAACATTAATGAAGTAGAATTGATCACACCTGAGGTGGTATGGATAGGGATCCAAAATTACAAGGTCCTTTATGTCCTATGGAGAACATATCAGATGGCACGAGGTCTGAACGTTAGGGTTTAAAAGTGGCGGGCAAAGAAAACAATACAAGTGAGGGCATAATAAAGAGCTTCCTGACTGGAACGTGACAAAAACAAAAAACTTGAAACCACAGGAAGTGTAAGGCCGGAATAATGGACATGGAGATTCAGCGGAGCTGCCACGACATGGCAGGCCGGTTTGAACTAAAGCCCGGAACCGCCACCAGGGCTTCATGGCCTTGGGCTGTGGCGGATGGCCACGGAAAGCTATGTGAGGGTGGTGTAGTGGGGTAAAAATGTAGTACGGATAAATGGTAGCAGGAAACGCAGAATTACAGTGTGTAGTGAGGCTTATGCGACTCACTAGTGTTGCAGATGAAGCAGGGTCGAGTGTAAAAGTCACTTGGGAAACGAGTTCACGCAGACTGAGCAGTAATTGACCCAGTTGGTGAGGAGTACGAATAAAAGCCGCCAAGATCTTTACATCTGGCAAAAGGTTCGGCAGATTGCAATGAACGCCTTCCGGTGGTGGCCGGGGACAAATGAGGGTTGATTGTGGTTGTCGGTATGGGAACCAGTGAGCGAGGGGGCCTGGACAAGGTAAGAGAGAAACAATTGCGGGTATGCTATCAGCCCGGGTATTCCAGTGCCGTACCAGCACTGCACTGAAGTACTTCGGTTTCTGGACAGCCCCGTGGTGGACGTCGTGATTTAGGTGGTTAGGCTGAGATGTGCAGTCTTGTTGTTTTTGTTTTCCCTTTTATTTTTCATGTCGAGATCCCTTCTGCACAAATCGGGTGGATTTGACAACGGTCAAACACATCTCTGGTTAAATTAGCATTTTACAACTGCGAAGCCTTCCTAATCTAACTGATCCTCAAATTCGCATATAAGACACGGTTGATCTGATTCAGTGTTCTCATGATACGCGCCACCGTCTGCAAGTATATTCAGTCAAAGCAACATAGCAGCGCTGCCAACAAACGGGACAGAGCAACCGATTACTTGTACCCGATGCACTCACTTTGATGGCATTGTGATATTTTGTGCCATAGGAATCAGTCTGCTACATGACCAAGAAACAGAAACAGCAAGAAGCAGTCAATATCGAGGCTACACCGCACCAAAACCTACCTCATCAACCAAACAGACACACCAAATTTGCTGCTCCCAGGGGTGACACATACAACACATATAAACATACAGTTTAACTTCCGACTCTCCACTATCAACGTCCGAGGATAGCATCACAAGTCTTCTTCGTCATGCACCACTCACTGAATAAAGCTGATGATAGTGCTTCGGGGACTGGTGACATTTTCCCTCGCATCCACCTTCCTTCCTAGATAGTTCTACTATCGTCCATCTCACTAACAACCTCCAGGAATTTACACCCATCAGTCGTTACGAGTTTGGTTTACCCTCACCACACCGCCTCTTAGCCCACATGCAGTAAACTGTCCTGTCTCAGGTGATATAGTTGTATTCGCAATCTTAGCTTGACTCTGATGACTACACTACTGAGTACAGATTCATCCTTATCCTGTCTTGTTTAATCAACTGATGTCCTTCCATAACTGAGGTAAAGTTAATTTTTTCCCTATCAATGACTATATCCTGTCTGATAAGCCCTACAACTCTCCAGACCTTATTGATCTCATCTCATTTCATCCTCTCCCGTAGCTTCGACCCGTGGTAATGCTCGCTATGGACTATCTGTTTGGCCGTTGTCAAATCCACCCGATTTGTGCAGAAGGGATCTCGACATGAAAAATAAAAGGGAAAACAAAAACAACAAGACTGCACATCTCAGCCTAACCACCTAAATCACGACGTCCACCACGGGGCTGTCCAGAAACCGAAGTACTTCAGTGCAGTGCTGGTACGGCACTGGAATACCCGGGCTGATAGCATACCCGCAATTGTTTCTCTCTTACCTTGTCCAGGCCCCCTCGCTCACTGGTTCCCATACCGACAACCACAATCAACCCTCATTTGTCCCCGGCCACCACCGGAAGGCGTTCATTGCAATCTGCCGAACCTTTTGCCAGATGTAAAGATCTTGGCGGCTTTTATTCGTACTCCTCACCAACTGGGTCAATTACTGCTCAGTCTGCGTGAACTCGTTTCCCAAGTAACTTTTACACTCGACCCTGCTTCATCTGCAACACTAGTGAGTCGCATAAGCCTCACTACACACTGTAATTCTGCGTTTCCTGCTACCATTTATCCGTACTACATTTTTACCCCACTACACCTCACTCACATAGCTTTCCGTGGCCATCCGCCACAGCCCAAGGCCATGAAGCCCTGGTGGCGGTTCCGGGCTTTAGTTCAAACCTGCCATGTCGTGGCAGCTCCGCTGAATCTCCATGTCCATTATTCCGGCCTTACACTTCCTGTGGTTTCAAGTTTTTTGTTTTTGTCACGTTCCAGTCAGGAAGCTCTTTATTATGCCCTCACTTGTATTGTTTTCTTTGCCCGCCACTTTTAAACCCTAACGTTCAGATCTCGTGCCATCTGATATGTTCTCCATAGGACATAAAGAGACCTTGTAATTTTGGATCCCTATCCATGCCCCCTCAGGTCTGAGGAGGGGAATTCGTCCTAATCCTGCGAAGCCAGCGTGGCCGAAGAGGCTTGTAGAATACCCAGGAAGAGGAGGTGAACCGGGGATGCACTCGGAGGAGCAGTTTGGCGGTAACTGAGTGCGTTGCAAGAAACAACGCAGTGATCACTTCATGGGAAGCGCGGACCAACTGCAGCTGCAGCCAAATGGCCATCTTTGGGGAATATTAGGTCCAAAGTATGTGAGCCACGAGTAGGTGTGCATATAATTTGAGACCTCCAAACCAAGTTGGGAAAGTAGCGCGGTTTAGCGAACTTGGCTCGTAGTGGGGGAGTCAAGAAATATTCTGCAAATTGAAGTCACTCTGCAGAACTCTAGACGAATGTAGAAAGGCATGTGCAGTGAAGATAACACAAGGAAAGCCAGCAGTAGATGCGAGGGGCGGTAGAAAATAGATACAACCTATTAGTACAGGTTATTTGGTCTGCTCTGTTGAAATCCAGATGGTCTCTGTAATCTTTTCCGGGGAAGAATCGTCAAAGCCGGTTGCTCGCAGCCCTGCTCTGAGGTAGATGGCACAGCCGCCACCTCTTAAAGTTTTTCTGTCAGAGCGGTGAATATCAAAGCCAGGGGTTGAGATGGCCATGTCAGCAGTTTCGCCTGTGAGCCGTGTTTCAGTCACGCAGGTAATACTTGGTCTGGGGGGGCGCTACTTCAGAGCGGTGAATATCAAAGCCAGGGGTTGAGATGGCCATGTCAGCAGTTTCGCCTGTGAGCCGTGTTTCAGTCACGCAGGTCATACTTGGTCGTGTGAGGGCGCTACTTGGTCGGAGGTTATGGATTTTGTGCGATAACGAATGGGCACTGAGTAACATTGTTGACAAGCTTATTGTTGAGCAAACTGTACCAAGGAAGAACTTTGTAAGCTCAAATACGGTGGGGTTTAGTACTAGGAGACTTGGTACCCGGATGTGGAGTCATACGAAACAAGGTTTGGAGTCCAGGGAGGAGTTTTCAATACCAGTGGTGGATGGGTAAATAGTCGGTGAAAGAAGTACTGTAAAAGGGATCAGTATAGGGACCGAACGACTGGGAGTTAAATGTGGAGTAGTCAACCGTGTCATCTTGTGCATCGCCAGGTTTGGAGGAAGGTAAGATGCAAAAAGGTGCTGGTCGCTTCGAGGGATGGGTGGCTGCCGAAAGTGTTGCTCAGGTGGGGCGAAATTTGACGGGCTGGTTAGCGGGAACGGATGAGATTCGAAGTTGGCCATCAGTCATAAATACAAGTTTCCCCAGGCACGTGGTGTGTATAGCCTGATTTGCTTTTTAAAAGTCGCGAGGATGGAGCTACTCTTGGCTTCAAGAGAGGCGGAATAGGC